TTTTTTTTTTTTTTTTTTTTTTTTTTAAGGAAGGCAGCTTTTAAAACATGGGAAGGGAGATGGATTAGGGTAGGGGAAGGCTGGGAAAATGGCTTTGAAAACAGTTCCAAGGGGATGCTTTAGAATACTCTGGAAGTCATGATAAATGACTCAATTAGTATGACTGGCATTTGAAGCCATTAGGAACTGGTGAACCTGAAGAACCCAAGGTGGAATGATAAGGTGTGTTGATAGCTGGAGTATCAGTCACCAGAGAAAATGATATCAGGTGGCTCCAAGGCTAGCAGTCATCCACTCCAGTCACTCTGCCCCGGACTCCCTCAAATTAAGCTTTTAGTCTCCGTTGGAGGTTCATGGCCCATTTCAGGCATTTATTACCTGGCAACCAAATAAAGGCCTTCCTCTGTACCTCTAAGTTAGCACTCTCAGAATACGTCCCATAACCCCACTGTCTGCTAAAGCAAAGTGAATTTTATACACATACACATACTTATTAACATGACCATTCCAAACTAGGCTTGCTATCAGGAATTGACGTTCTAAAGTAAATGATGCTTGGCTGGGTGGTGGTGGCACAGGTCTTTAATCCCTGCAGAGGCAGACGGACCTCCTAGAGTTCGAGGCCAGCCTAGTCTACAAAGGGAGTTCCAGGACAGCCAGAGCTACACACAGAGAAACCCTGGCTCATAAAACAAAAAACAAACAAACAAAAGAAAAAAACAAACAAAAACAAAAAAGGTACTCTAAGCAGATATTTCAAACATGTTAGTTTTTTTGTCCCAGTGGGATTTTTTTTGTTTGCTTGTTTGATTTTTTGCCTAGATACTATTAAAAGAGCTATGTTCAGGGCTGGGCAGATGGCTCAGTGGGTAAAGTGTTTACTGTGCACACATGTGGGCCTGAATTCAGATACCCACCACCCACAAAAAAGCCAGGCATAGTCGTACATGCCTGTAACCCCAGCACTGGAGACAGAGACAGCTGATCTCAGGACCTGACTGGCTAGCCTGATGAACTGCAACCTTGAGCTCCAGGTTTGGCAAGCACTTTTGCCTCCAAATAAATAAATAAATAAAGTAGAAAAGCGACTAAGGAAGACATCTGATGTCAAACTCTGGTCTTCTTACATGCCTGCATGGGAGATTTGTGTGGGTGTCTGCGCGCGCGCGCGCGCACACACACACACACACACACACACACACACACACACACACACACACACACACGAAAAGGAATAATGCTCAAATCATCACATATTTAAAATAAAATATAAAGCCAGGTGGTGGTGGTGGTGGTGGTGCAGCCACATGCCTTTAATCACAGCCCTTAGGAGGCAGAGGCAGGTGGATCTCTGAGTTTGAGGCCAGCCTGGTCTACACAGTGAGTTCCCGGACAGCAGATCTGTACAGAGAACACTGTCTAAAAATAATAAACAAATAAATAAAATATAAAGTGCAAGTCAATTTCAAAAGATAATTCTAGGTGGCCCAATATGATATACAGCATGCTTTACAATAATGCTTAATTCACTAAACACATTCCTGTTAAGTTTCAAACCCAGGACAAAGGGCCCAGGTGCCTATTTAACTATCAAAGCAGACTCGGGCTGCCATGTTCTCCCAGCATCCCTCAGACTCTGCCTGTTAACAGGCCCTCTTAGCTAGCATGCCCCTGCCCCACTGCTCCTACCCTGAACTACTCTCTGGCCCAGGGGGCTGGGCTGCCCTTCCTCATATAACACAAACATTTTGGTTGCCCTTTCTTGTATCTTTGGGCATCCAGGCTGCTGCAGCTGGTTCTCTCCCCCCTCTATCTGGCTCAGGGTCATGTCCACTCTGGACTCTCAGATGTCTCTGCCTCTGGCTATGCTCTCCCATATATCTATAATAAACTTTCTCCTCCACCACACCTAGGTGCAGTCATGTTCGTTTCCTTTTCCTTTTTCATTCAGTTCCATTTAGGAATGGGTTTTGATGGAGCTTCATTCTTTGCTCTTTAGCTTTAATTAAATATTTGCAGCACGTAGCTCTTTTAAAAAAAAAACAAGTAACTCTAGGGCAGTGATTCTCAACGTTCCTAATGCTGTGACCCTTTAAAACAGTTTCCTCATGTTGTTGTGATCCCCCCCAACCATAAATTTTAGTTGCTACTTCATAACTGTAATTTTGCTGTTATGAATTTAATGTAAATATTTTTGTAGACAGAGGTGTGCAAAGGGGTTGAGACCCACAGGTTGAGAACCACTGCTCTAGGGTTGAACTGAGCATCATCTGAGCAATAAG